TTTAAAATTTATTTATTGATTAAATATATTTAGGTAACAAATTTATATAATTTGGTCACAAATTAACGATTTAGTAAATAATTTTTTTTTTCGGTCACAAATTATAAAATTTTATGTGTCAAATTATTTTACAGTCATAATTTAAAAATTTTATAGGTCATAGTTTCTTCATCGGTCACAAATCAAAAAATTATAAGTTTCAATTTATTTATTTGTCACAAATCACGAATATTACAAATCATAACTTATTATACAATCACAAATTATTAAATTATAGATCATAAATTAACAATTTTTTAGGTTACACATTATTTCTTGATCATAATTTATACTTTTTATTGATCACATATTGTTTACTTGTCACAAATTAATCAATTTAATAGTCACCGTCAACCAAATAGTTTGTGACCAACACTTGCGACCATAACCACAGACGTGACCACGACCACCAACACCATCGTCGACCACCACTGCCAGATTCACCGCGTCGAGCAGCACCTCCCTGCACCACCAACAAAAATCATCCCAAACCTCCATTAACCCCCTAGCACCAAGGCAACCCATCACCACCGCACCTAGATTGGAAAAAAAAAAGACCCTCAGCAAACTCAAAATCATCGCAACTACACCCTATCCTCCGACCCACCCTACAACACCACCACAAACACCACATATCCCAAAACTCCGACTAAGCACGTTGGAGGAAGAACCACCTCAAAACCATTGCTTTGCAACACCCCATCTCCATCCATCACACCACCACCACCACTAGCTTTTGATGCGAACCCCGTAGCAACTTAGACTACGAAACCCACAATTAGATTGATGCTGAATCCAATAACGTCAATTGATAACCAATTTGGACTTCAACCCAACAAAATGAAACAAAGAACCCAAAGATAATGATGATGCAATGGGCCCCTTGCTTACAAATTGAAGAACCCACGATCTGGTGTTGAACGCCACAAGGAATTATCCTTAATAAGTTCTAAATTATTGTTCAAAGAAAAACAAATTGAAAGAAAGCAAAAACATTTCTTGAATTCAATAATAATTGCCAAAAGTCCTTACACAATGTAATGGAGATAGTATTTATACTAAAGCTAAAAACCTAGCTAAAATCATGCAAAATCGTCAAAATATGGAAGAAAAAAAAAAGGTCTAATTGATATCAAATTCTAACAAAATAAAGAAATTTGCGAAAAAAAAAGAAAATTCTTTCGGACTTTTGTATTACCATGCGGTCGCATGGAAAAAACTATCGCCCCTCGAGAAAATCTTGCATGGGTCTGTGCGACCGCACCACTTTAAAACCATGCGGCCGCATGGTTGTTACTTTGGCCTCCGTCTTCGTCCGCTTGTATTGAGTTGATCCACTTTGATTCGGCTCTCGACGCGAACATGAAAGTTGCCTCGTTTTGCATCCCGAACATCGTCCCATCGATGGTTTCTCGAACGAGCAATTCCATCGCTTATTCCACTTGCTTTGCTCTCGATCGCGTTATCGGTCCGCCTTCGATAATCAACGAGTCTCGACTCGAACTCGCCATCTTCAAGCTTAATTACTGTACAAACTACACCACACACATCATCGTCGCACCTCCACCCATGGAGACACAACAGAGGCGCGACGCCAACTCTGCCCACGGAGATGCAACAAATTTTGAACGAATGCCCATGGTGATATAAAAAAGGGAATACTGGTGGTCGCCCTTCAGTCGTCGTCATCAATACCGACAGTCGTGGGGGTCACGATAGCAACGAGAGAGAAGAGATGTGGAGAGGGAACAAGGTTTGGGGAAATGAGATGGGTTGGAGGGGGTAGGGTTGGTTTATAAATTAATTTAATTTAATAATACATTTATCTAATAATAATAAATAAATTAACAAAACATTTGATTTTTGAATAATCAAACATCCAATCTGATTTCAGAATTTTGAATTTTTAAAGTAGGGTGTGGTGTAATTTTAACTTGTTGTTTTAACATTTTAAAAGGGAACGAGCACCCAAGCCTAAGTAGGCCTAGCTTGCAAAAGTCAAGAAGTGGGCCAGCCCACCTCACAACTAAGGTCCAGGCCAAATTTATTATTATTATTTTTTATGAAAATATAATATTCTTAAAAGGTTAAAAATCTAATGTGAAATAGTGCTCAATAAACATGTGTTAAAGGTTATTATTTGAGATTTTGGATAATTAGTAATTAACGTCCTTACCTTTTAAAGTTATTGTGTAAAACATTCATATCTTTCTTTTTTTTTGACATTTTTACTCCTATTTTCACTTTTCATTGTGGAAAAGGTATATTTCATTCTATTTCTCAATTAAAAATGTAAAATGACAAATCTACCATACTATTTAAATAAAACCAAAAAAGAAGAGAAAAATTGAATAACAAATTGCAATTATACTTCAAAAGTTTTTAAAAAACTGCAAATGAGTCCAAATAAATTACTAAAATGGTAATTAACACAAAACGTCCCTACTTTTCAATATTATTATGTAAAACATTCTTGCCTTTTATTTTTTGGCATTTTCTTCTTTTTTTCATATTTCATTGTAAAAATCATCATTTTCATCCATATTTTCAATTAAAAGCTGCAAAATAATGAATATACCTCCATACTTAAAGAAAAGAAAAATAAAGAACAAATTGTAAATATACTCCAAAAGTTTTAAAAAAAAGTACAAATAAATAATTAAAAAAGAAAGTAATTTTTTAAATTTTTTGTTTTTATTTATTTACTTGAAATTTATTTGTACTTTTTTGAAAAATTTGGGGTATGGTTACAATTTCTTCTTTATTTATTTATTTATTTATTTATTTATTTTCGTTTTATTTAAATAGGATGGTGTATTCGTCATTTTATATCATTTAATTGAAAAAATAGATGAAAACGACGATTTTTGCAATGAAATATGAAAATATGGGTGAAATGCCAAAAAATGAAAAGTATGGATATTTTGCACAATAATACTGAAAGGTATGGACGTTTTGTGTTAATTACCCTTTTAATAATTTTATTTGAACTCATTTGCAATTTTTTGAAAAGTTTGGGAGTATAAGTGCAATAAGGTCTTTAATTTTCTTTTCTTTTTCTTTTGTTTTATTTGATTAGGAGGATGTATTTGTTATTTATATTTTTTATTGAGAAATTGGATGAAAATGACATTTTACGCAATGAAATGTGAAAATAGTGGTGAAAATGTCAAAAAATGAAAAGGTATAGACGTTTTGTACAAAATATTAAAAGGTACGGACGTTTTGTACTAATTACGCTTTAGACTTTCAGAGCATTGTGCATGGGAAAATTACCCCGAAAATCGACCTTTAAAATTCACATTTCAAATATCGAAGTGCAAAAATTTATATTTCAAAATTCGGGTGCTTTTACTTCTCCCCAAGGTGCCCCATATACCCCACACCACCTCACTCCTATCCTTTAATTAAGTTCTTCTCAAATCCATCCTCATTTCCCAAACCAACACCACTGTGGTTGGAAAATCCTTCAATCTCCATTTTCTTTGAGATTTTGAGGATGAAGGTGACAAAAAATTCTGCAACTCTTTTTTCTCTTGAACCCATGGAATTTGATTAGAACTTTCAAACGAGAAAGTAAACATGTTGCTCTTCGACTTGAGAAATGTACATGTGGGTGATAGATATAGTGATGCTAATGTGGGGGGGGGGGGGGGGGGGGGAGAGAGAGAGAGAGAGAGAGAGAGAGAGAGAGAGAGAGAGAGAGAGAGAGGTATAATATATTTTATTATTATTGTTATTATAATTCAACACTTGATTTGTAAAAAAAAAATTTTACAAGTTTGTTAAATATGAATGTTTTTTTATAGTATTGTATTTATGTATTTTTCCCATTGTGCATCGTATAGAGTAAGAAAAGGGAGAAATCTAAAGCCCATGTGAGATTCCAATTCCATGGTATAATTCTATAAGCATTGAGTATCACATACTCTCCTCTCACCTTTAATCTCTAATGAACGTAATTGTTATACTTTTTTAACAATTGGGGATACCCCATTGTTGATAATATGCAATTATTCCTAATGGACCCTTTTGTATGCACAAGGACCATTATGGACCATCAATGGTCAAACGAAATTGATCATCAATTAATCTATGTGGTGCTTCATGGTCCTTGGGACCTTGTTCATCTTTGCGAGGACCACCACCATCAAAATCTTGAAAAATCAGTCATGTGTTTTGATCCATAAACTTGAAGAGAGATACTATGGCTCGAAAAAGTGTTGAAGAACCCAAACAAACAAAGAGCGAGAGAACTTTGGACGAGAACAAATGATAAGCATCCATTAAAGGACCAGTCACAAGGACTTGGTACATTAAAAGATGCATATTGAAAATATAAAATTTCATAGCTAAGCTAGTTTAACAATATAATTTTTTATTAATGAACATGTCTAACACTTTCAAAAATCAGATGGTATGTGACTGTGACTTATAAATTATGTGATTATAATTTTGTACGACGTCTGATTGTGACATAATCTATATGTGACATGTTAGTTTGTTTTAGGGTGAATTATGACTTAATTTGTTTTATTGTAACTTTTATATCTAAGAATTTATCACATGTGACCTATTAATTTGTGTTTATGACATGTTACATTATATAAATGTAATATATGAACCTGCGTGACTATGACCAATTATGTTATCTAGTTATGATCTAAACATATCTATTGATGTGAGAAAAAAAATTAATGCTAATGAAATTAAAATTTGGAAAACATGATTTCATATAATTTCCCCTATTGAAAATCCAATTAGCATGTTTTAACTTTTTTACTAAAAATTTACAAATCAAGAAATAATTAGTGGATAAGTAGGCAATACTTAGCCTTCGTTTGTTTTCCATTATTTGCTCATTAAAATGAAAAATATGACTATTATCTATCACATTAAATCACTATATTTGACTGTCTATCTCTTGTGTGGGGGTCCGTAACGACTATATTTTTTCTTTCGTCCAAAAATACATGCATAAACAGAGTTGTTCGTATATCCTATTCCTTTCTCAACGGTTTCCCCCGTTTTACTTGGACGAGAGAACCTGGATTTGATTAACAAAACACTCAGAACGGTACGACGTCGTCTGCGCATGCAAAATCATCGGAGTTTGCAATTGCATCCTCCGGCCATGAGTTACGAAGCAATTTCAACAGCATTTGGGCTTTTCGTTTTGCTCTCTCTGTGCAATCGCTTTGAACAAGTAATAGCAGCTGAGTTAACACGCCGGCAGACACGGCCTCCTGCTGAGCCTCCTCGGATGCCGAGCATATAGAGAGAAGCGAACCAGCAGCATATTCCGTTGCACGGTCGGAAATTTTCAGAATGATTCTTACTAGAAGTGGCACTGTTAACGCGTGGGCAGCGAAGGATGCGCAGCCGGATGATATCCGGCAGAGTAGTTCCACTGTCGCTAGTGCCCTCTCTGCGTCACATTTCTCGAACTCCACCAGCCTATCAATCAGCGCCGGCACCGATCCGGCTGTGACAGCCTTGTTACGATGTTGCTTCACAAGGCACAAAGCGAACAAGGCCTTGATACTGATCTTCAAAGCCCTCGCATTCGCCAGTGGACAATTCAAAATTCCAACAATTCCTTCGAATATTCCATCAACATTGCTGATTTGTGCTCTGAGCTCCGCGGATCTTATTCCCGCCGCAACAATCTCTATCAACGCAGCCGAGTTGACTCGAATATCAATATTTGAATGAAATAGTAATTCCACCAGGTATCCAACTCGATCCGAAACGGTGGCCACGTACAAGCACTCTGCCTCAGAGAGTGAAATCATAGACAAAATCGCAAGCGATTCGTGATTCAGCTCGGACGAGTTGGAATTAACTTCTGTGAACACAACAGAAAGAAGAATCTCACGTGCATTATTCGCAACAATTACCGCGCGATTTTTATCCGAGTCACGAGCAAGACCTCTGAGTTTCCTCAAAGCACTGAGTCTTAAATTGAAAGCAACCGATTCAGATGAACCCTGATTCAGTAACATCCGGACAACACACGGGTCAGCGGGTTGTTTCGGAGTTGGGATCCGCTCCACTCCAAATGACCGGTTCGCAACACACCAATCCTGAATAAGCCGCCTTAGAGTGTGATTTGGAATAAGACTAAAATCTAAAAGAGGCGCGCGGGTAACCGGGCACGTAATATTCCCAGTTGCCACCCACGACTCTATGCTGGAACGGTCGTACGTCTGACCAGTACAAACAGTCACCGGATCACTCATCAGCTCCAAAGAAATCGGGCACCGGAAGTGATACGGAATCTGTACACCAACATCCAATGGCTCTAAACTCCCAGGCATGTTAAATCCTTCCTGTCCCTTTTTCCCCAGTTTTGCTCTGATTAGTATTAATATATAAGAAAACAAAGAAAGACTGCAAATTCTCTTTCAATTTGTTAGGGGATGAGAGGGACATAACCAACAGAGGCTGTAGTTTTTTTTTTCCCAATCCCCCGCACGTGTATTTATTACCTTGGTAGCCGTAGAATTTAACCATGGGGGTTGGGGATGGGACTTTTGGTCAAAGGAAATGTGGAGGGGTCCATTTTCATGCTTAAATCTAACTCATGTTTACATCAGTGGGAATTAATGGTCCTGAATGTTTATTACTGTTTAAGGTTGATTCTACCTAAATGATTAGGTATTTAGGTTTTAGTCTTTTTTGCAGTTATTATGCGCCTGTTGTATTCCACTCCTGCATCTAAAATAATGTTGGTTACTTTATTTTGCTTCTGTTTGATTTGGATAAAAATTAAATTTTTAGTAAATTTTGATTAAAATTAATGAAATGGATGGTAAAAAAGTCCTGAATTTCATGAAATATGTTATTAATTTTAATTACATTTTTAATTGAATCAGACATGAATTTTGTTTTTGATGACTTGATATCATATCAATTTACTATTCACTAGAATATTGACTATTCCATTGTTGTGGGGTATCATTTACTAGGACCTAAAGTGGGTAAATTATTAAGATCCAACTCCTATATGTGGATGAAGACCAACTCTTAGAAAAGTTTTGACCAGTTATTAGAGAAAAAAAAAATCATGATAATATGATGTTTGAACTAAATTCAAGATTGTAGTTAATGATAAAATGATTAAGAGTTTGAAAATTCTTCTTTTCTGATGGAGGGGTTTTCAATTCCCTTGCTCTAAAAAGGAAAATTGAGAGCATTTATAGGGGAAAAAGGCACGACAAAGTATTTACATCCAAGTAGAAAATATTCATGACCATCATCCCAAGGTTGCTTTCAACATAAATCCCAAACTAGTAAGACATATGATTGTGAAAATTGCCCACCTTTTTAGGGATGTCTCCCAATTCAACGAAAGCTGCCAAAGGAAAAAAAGAAAAAGCAGTCAGAGAGGGCATTCAAGGAAGGGGAGTTGAGCGAGAAACTAATGAACAATGGGTGGATATTAATAAATGGTTGGACGTTCAAACCTTAGATTGATAACATTTATGTTAGGGTTCATGTAGAAATAAGAAATTTAAATCAAATCTCGTACAAACAACTATATTTGGGGCATTCTAGGCAGATGCATTAACAGATTAACTGCACCTATTAAGCTAGTTGGATGAATTTAGTGCTGATAAGCTACGAAATTATGTTATATCTATAAATTATGTAATATATATTAGGCGAAGGGATTGGAACGATCAAATCAAGTAACTTTTTCTTGACTTGGTCTTTGGCTCGATCCATTGAACTACTCTTCCAACTCTATTGTAACCAATTTTATCCCATTACGACAGCTGACTTGATCGTTGGAGTTCAGATGTGTTGAGACCGATTGACCAATAATGTAGGAATTGAGATTTAATGAATTCCACTTGTTGTAATTAAAGTATTGAATAAGATCACAAATAACCACGAACAAGATTAAAGTAAAGAAATAAAAGAACTAGCAGATGAACGATATTATTTTATTCAATCAATGAAATGAGAGAATTATAGCAATAATAGCTTAAACAATACTGAAAGAGGAGTCCTGTATTTATTGTATAAAATCTAGCTCTAAAAGAGTCCCAAACAAAGGTAAGAAATCTAATGCAATTTAGACTCCTATTTGAGTCACACTTCTAACAATCTCCACCTTGACTCAAATTCCGGTGCAACGAACAAAACTCCAAAATTTCTGCACCTTGAGAAATAATCCGTCTACATCAGAATGAACTGACAAATCCCCTCAACGCAATAACCAAACTCTCCACGATAACAAGTTCCCCCGCCCCGTGTCCACAAGCGACACCCGAACCCGAACCCGGGTTCCCAAAATTCCGCTTGAAATTAACAATCACTGGACAGGGTCGAAGCACACCCTGTAGCAGAAACCACACCAAATGCACAATTAGAAGGTCCCTTGCCAATATTGTCACCTTCAATGATTTCTAAAGCATTACAGACATCTCCAAAACTTTACCTACACTTCATGAGTCCATTGGCATTACAAGAACACAGTGTACCTGCTCAAATTGGTGGCAAAGCGGAATCACCAACACTCCCTTGAGCAAAGTTCTTAATTGATCCAGAGCCAAACTCGAGAGGTACTGTACCAAATTGAATGTCCGCCACGGTACTGAATTTGTCCAAATGTTTCTGAACTGGTTCTGCACTCCCTTGTAAGATATACAACTGGAATTTCCTCCGTCCCTCTAGTACAACCTGGACACCCCTTCGAACTTTCAAGACTCCACCTCCACCAGAGAATTTGTACCCTTTTTCAACCAAGGTACTCAGTGATATGAGATTTTTTTGTCAAGTCTGGAACATGGCAAACCTGATCAAGTGTCCTCACTGTTCCATCTTGTAGCCTCAATCTGACCTGACCGATTCCTGCAACCCGACAAGATTGGTTGTTTCCCATGACAACTCCACCTTGCTTCACCGTCTCATATGTTTGAAACAAAGCCCTATTGAGACACATATGATACGAACAAGTAGAATCCAGAATCCACTCCTCAGATTTGGATTCCCCGTCAGATACAGCCAACATCACATCTCCATCATCACAAAAATTTTCAACAATATTAGTCTCATTCGAATTACCTAATTGCCCCGCATGATTTGCATGTAAATCACCTTTACCATGCAACTTGTCGCAATCTTTCTTGATGTGTCATTTCCTCTTGCAGTAATAACAATACACATTGCTGTACTTCACCTTTGATCTACCCCTTCGTCGATTACCATGAGTAACAAGAGCATCCCCACTCCTAGATGCAGGATCTCCAACCAACAACTCCATCTTCTCTTTTGAGAATAGGGTGTCGTATACCTTATCAATGGATAACGTGTCACGACTATACAGAATAGTATCACGAAATGACGAAAAAGAATTGGGTAGCGAACACAACAGGACCAAGGCTTAAACATCTTCATTATATTTTACCTCCAACGTCTCCAAATCTGCAACAATCTCCTTGAACACAGCAAGGTGGTCCTGCAGTGACCTTCCTTTCGCCATGCGATGAGAATACAACCTCTACTTTAGAGTCAGTTTGCTCATCAAACTCTTTGTCATGCATAACCGCTCCAGCTTGAGCCACAAAGCAGCCGCTGTCTTCTCCTTCAAAACATCTTGCAGCAAATTGTTGGATAAATGAAGTTGAATTTGCGCTAAAGCCTTCTGATCCCTCCGTTGTTTCTCCTCCATAGACAAGTTTGCTGGCATCCTATCAAAACCCAACAAAGCATCATCAAGATCCATTTGCGTCAACACGGCTCTCACCTTTACTTGCCATAGCGAAAATCTTGTATTGCGATCCAATAGCGAAATTTCATACTTCAACGAATTTATCTCCAAAAAATCTCAATCAAATCACGAAGAACTTGCAACCTGCAACACCCAAAACTCGAACGTGCAAGGCGCAAAATAGTCCAGAACCACAATTTTGCCCAAAACTGAAATTAGACAGCACCAAAAGGTCCGTCTCGTCGTCCGGAGAAAATTGCCTGAAGACACAGTCGCCGAAAAACGTCTCACGCGCTGCCACTCTCTGGCTGGAGTTACCACCGCCAGCTATTGACCGGAAAGCGCGACGACGACCCGTGACCCTTTCTAGACCGTTTCTACCTGCTGAGTCCACTGGTGGTGTTCGTTTCTCCAAATTCTTTCTAGTTTGACCAGAAAAAAGCAAAAACAGATCCGGCAAAAAATCAAAAAATTGGACAGATTCGTTTTCTGATTTTCTGGTAATTTTCAAACGATTAGTTTCAGGCCAAAATTCCACCAATAACCCCCCTTTGATACCACTTGTTGGGACCGATTGACCAATAATGTAGGAATTGAGATTTAATGAATTCCACTTGTTGTAATTGAAGTATTGAACAAGATCACAAATAACCACGAACAAGATTAAAGTAAAGAAATAAAAGAATTGGCAGATGAACGATATTATTTTATTTAATCAATGAAATGAGAGAATTACAGCAATAATGACTTAAACAATACTGAAAGAGGAGCTCTGTATTTATAGTATAAAATCTAGCCCTAAAAGAGTCCCAAACAAAGGTAAAAAATTTAATGCAATTTAGACTCCTATTTAAGTCACACTTCTAACAATATGGTCACTGGACATTTTTATGGGATGATGACCTTTGCACCTTGATGATGTTTTCCAACATTTAGATGATGCCTAGGTGAAGGTGGTCGGGATTCTGATGACTAAATCGGACAGATTTTGAGTCAACAGATTACATAGTATTTTCAGTGCAAAGAAAAAGAAATCACAATCTTAGAGGTGTAAACTATTCACAAGTCTTCTTTTTCATTTTCAAGATTACATCCTATGGGTACGGCTTATTTGTAAACGAGCTCAGCTAGGCTCGACTATAGAGGCGGCTTGGTCCGCGACACGGTCTTACATGGACTTAATCATAATTTAATGGGGAGCAGTCAGAGGTGAAGTATGAATGGAATGAGCGATGGCCAGGTTGTCTTTCCTTTACAACCTTAATAATCAAGCCAGAAAATCTTCAGTATCTGTCTGGGATTGGGCTTGAAATATGGGACCCTTCCCAAGTTAACAATGTTGAGTAAGTAGGTCCCTCAATGGTGGACCCCTTTAACGTCCCCTGAAATTGCATCACACAACTGGAGCAGAGAATCTGTTTTTGTCCATCACACGCTACCTTTCACTCTGATTTGAGGAGAATATTTTCAATGATTTATGTTGGATAAAGATTGGGCATACAAGTCAATGTGTCTGAAGGAAAAATAAATCAAATTTTAAGTAAATTTTGATAAAAATTCATAAAATATATGGTGAAAAAATTGATAAAAATTGTGAATTTCATAAAATATGTAATTAAAAAATAGAATTTTAAATAATGAGGGCCAAATGGTAAAAGACCTTGTCAGAATTTTTATACATCAATGTCATCTCATAAATAATGGTCACACTCAGAGCCTGTTTGGAAGTGATTTTGAGAATTAATTTTTTGATTGTTAGAAGGAAAGTGAGGTCCACTTATGAGAGAAGAAGTCAAATATAACGACTGAAACAATGAAATAACAGTTAAAAAATCAATTTTTTGAAGGAAAAAATCACTCCCAAACAGACTCTCAAGGTATTTTCTGAATTAGCATACAACATGCATCATACTTTACTCAAATGGGAAGGCCCAACCTAATTATTACGAATAAAGAAATTCCTTGTAAAGCTAATAAGACTCGTACAGTAAATTTACAAGTTCTAATTTATAATATTCATTCTGAAGAATCAAATTAACGATCGGCAGGAACATGACATCATACTTAATAAACCTAACATTAAATTAAATTGTAAAATTAATTATGATCTCTGCTTAATTCTCTATATATTTATTAGGATTCCCATATCAGCTTTAGAGTGTAAAGTGGGGAAGCTAGCCTAGTTGGCTTATGGATTTGGCCATCGTCACATTCAACAATATCTATATATCTATTTGTAAATCCAATGTGGTCCATAAAATGTGACGTTTTCCAACTTTTATTGGGGAATTAAATTATAATAATTCTGCTATGTGATTTTGGTTGGCCTTCACGCTGCAAAAGGACACAAAGGCTTGTCGATTGGATTCACTTTCAAATTTTGGAAAAAGTTGACTTGATTTTGTTGTAGGGATATGTATTTGTTTAGGATAATCACCTTGATTCTAGCAAGGTTTTGCAGCTAATTGTCAAGTGTTTGTGAGAAAGACGAAATCCCTTTTTTTTTGGTTTATAGCCTGGTTTCGTTAAAAATAATAATTATTATTTTAGTATATTAAAATAAGCGTTGATGGAATATGTGATTGAAAAGTTGATTAAGCCTTTATTTGACGGAGATTAAAATTATATTTTTAGTAAATTTGGATAAAAAGTTAATGAGTTGTGTTGTTAAAAAGTTGCAATCCCACAAAATATCTAGTCAGAATGAAATATTGACTTTGATTTAAAGCAAAATTTTAAATTTAATTTTCGCCAAACATGAGCTAAAAGTGTAAATTTCATGAAATATGTAGTAGCAAATGAATTTGGAGAAAATGAGTTTTAAGAAACAGGGGCCAAAGAGGGATAAAATGTGTAATTGAAAATGAGTTTAGAAGAATAATGAAAAAAATTGGGAGCCAAACCAAACATGGACAAATATGTGATTGAAAATTAGTTTAGGAGAGGAATGAATTTTAAAAAATTGGAACGGAACATGGATTTAAAAAATCATGCATTAAGCCCCCGTTTGATTCTTATTTTTCAAGCCAAAAAATCAATTTTTTTACTGTCACTTAACATAATTAGCTGTCATCTGTGAACTCTTCACTCATAGGTGGGACCCACCTTTCAAGCTAACGGTCAAAATTTGATTCTCATAATTAGCACCAAACAAGCAATCATCTTGGTTAATTTTCTGTTGGAGTAGACAAGGATTTGCTAATCAGCAAGTAAACCTCATGAAGCCAAATAAAAGCAGTACAAAATTGCAATCTTTAAGGTGAAAATGTAAAGTGAGGAAATAATATGAATTCGAAATTTGTATACTTCCCAATTTAACAATCCCATTCATATGAAAAGCACTACGTCTGCTACAATCCAACTTTTACAGTTATTATTATGAGCCAAGTGTTACACTAGACACCAATATTCAATCTGCCTCATCTTTGCAATTTGCAAATGCAAAAGAACTTGACACCAATTTCACAGTTCCCATTCTCTAATGTACTTCCTTTTAAGGTATTGAAACGAACTAGCTTGATATAGGAGGATCCAAATTTACCGGGACAAGATGACAGTAAGAAACAAACCAGCCAACCACTGCAATTTAAAGGGTCTGCTATCAAATATTGCAAAGCTGGTTTCATTAGTTGGTTTTGCAATAGGGGCAGGGCTTGCCTCAGGTAGTTCGCATGCTCCAAACTTCATGTTTTCCTGCACGTCATGATTGTCGATATTTAAAGTGACAGTCTATTTATACTATAAAAGTGTTCGTACTAAAATCAGTGAGTTTCAAACACAGAAAGTCTTGAGAGAAATTTTAAACCTTGCAAGAGGCAATGGTTTTACAACCGCAAACTAGGTGACCGTTTGCCATATCTACGGCTTCAGGTGCTCCTCCTCCATCACTTCTCTGCGTGGTTTATGTATCAAAAATTCATGCAAACATGAAAAACAGCAGATTTTAGTTGATCTGTATAACATTCTAAAACAAAAAAATTACCTTGTAAAAATCAACAGCAATGAAATTGGGCCATCTTTTTCCAGCTGCTTCATAACAGGTGTTCATCATGCTAATTAGTGGGGCTGAATTATGTTTGCAGGCAGTGGCCTCAGTTGGGTTATCGGGAAAATAGTTCATCAAGACTAGCAACCTTGTTTTCGTGTTCATGCTAGATGATTCTGCTCGGTTGGGACATGATCCGGCTATCATTCCACCATTGCCATCTGCAGGTTCAGAGCCCAACTTCTGAGTGAAAACTTTCTATTCAGAAATATCATCCAAGATCTTAATCTAGAAAAGGCAGCTCACATTGATTTTCTACCAAGTATTTCCATTCATATGCAATGCCTTCTGAAGATTCCTTGGAGCTTTTAGAAGTGAATACTACTAATCGCTGATTCTGCCTGACCATATCATCAACCGTGGGCCATTCTCCCCCATTTTTTGGCATCCGAGCTGCTGGAAATAAGAATTTACTCAGGCCAGAGGCATTAAACACCCTCGTCAGGCCATTAGGAGATGTAACATAATCTTCAATGATAATGGTTATGACTTCAAAAGTGTTGGCTTCTAGAAACACTTGAACCTCTTTCAAAACATTTATGGCGGGTTGCTGGCAATCACAATTTAGTAGATTAGCTTCAAAGAATACAAACAGTTAACTAATCGTCAGTTCATCTGACAAAGTATAAAAGTCAGCTTAGATATAGCTTATATTTTCAAATACAAAACACTATTAAGCAAGATTGGGGAAAATCTGATCTAGCTGTTATGATAACATCTGAAAATTGTAGGAAAACATGCTGTGTACACCCGATTACTCAGTCACCTAGGTACCAATAAGGAAAAAAGTAATTTTACCATCATTATGTAATATCATGTTGACCTCATGTACTTACAAAAGCTGTATAGTTGTAGCATTTGCCGCCAAAGGAGTGGCATAACCAGATATCATTGTCAAAGTCATACATATCAAGCATCAACCCTCTAACACCATTCTGCAACACAGATGTATCCAGAAAAGCCACTCAAATATTGCATAATCAGCAATGATTCATTGTATATGAAACTTCTAAGGAATCTTTTAACTTGTGTAAAACAAATGTTCTCTAACAAAAATTAGATTCATAATGAACATTACCAACAATAAATTAATGTGTCACATAATGTATGATAAATCAACAATTGCATAATTTCCACCCAAGTTCAAAATTTTGTCTTAGAACATTTATGTAAGCTGTTCTCATAAATAGGATCTGCAGCAGCACAAATATCAGAAGAAATTCTGATAGAAGTAAATAATCTGGACAACAAACTTATAATTTACAAAGAGGTTTTAATTTTGATAATACTGCTTCCCCCTTTCCCCCACTCCAGGTGCTAGGACAGATATTATATAGGAAATAAAGTATCAGGATTGACATTCATTTCGTTCCCATCGTTTTTGCATGGTCAAGTCAACTCAACTCAAGCTTTAGAAACCAATGCGTAGAAGTTCATTGATGTCTTCTTTATATAAAGCAAATTGACTTCATCTGCAAATAATTCTTGATATGAAAAAACAGAATCTTGGGGATTTTTATTTATTTTTATTTAGTTTTTTTCTTGTTTGTCTATGATGAAGAATTGTAAATCTATGTAAAATTCTTAAAAGATGAGATCAATTCAGAAGCACTTTTATTTTGCTATGTTCTAATTTTTGGCAAATTAAATGGCTCCGTGTTCTAGGGCCCTCCACATTCTTGTACATAATATTCTTTAATTAGGAATTGAGCATATCTGAAATATTAGAAGCCAAGAGGAGGCAGTCAACATGAGTTGGGAATAGAAACTGCCAGACAGGGGACAGAGGAGATGGGAGGACTGACAATGGTGAGGGAAGGGTAGTGGATGGGGAATGACGATGAAATGGGAGTTCAGCTGGGGAGTGGAAAGGTGGGGAAAAATATTTTTTTTTTTTTTTTTTTTTTTTGGCCTTTTAGTTAGAGAGATTATTGCATTACCTATTATATCCTGAAAAATTGTTCTACTTGAGATAAACTGTTTTTTTCAAGCAGTATTGCTCTCTGTGGACCTAGTTGCTAAAAATTGTAGATCAGATATTCATTTGCTAAAATAAATTGAATGGGAACCTAAATGCTCATTTAGGCATAACATGGAGTGTATGGATGTAAGTTTCCCAATAAAAATTATTATCATTGCTTGTTCCATCAACTAAGTCTGCTTATGATTGCTTGGAAGAAAAATTAAATCATAACTTATGGTGCTTCCAATTAAAGATTTGTCCCTTTGCTTACCAAATTTCCAATTTAACTATCTCTAATGCTTACCTAAAACATTTTGCTTTCACAGAATAAAGCCAATGGTTTAAGTGCCAAATTGCCATCACCAGAAAACATGTTTGTCACAAGCAGCCCATTCGCTAATAATAGTTAATAACTAGAATCAATATAATAATAACATTGCCATCAGCGTGACAGGTAAAGATAAAACTTCAATAATGAACATCCACATTTTCTATAGAGTATCCTGCAAAAATTAAGCCACGCGCAAGGATATTTCTGTCTTTGGACCAGGCCAAAGCTTCATTCTTTAGAGTATATTTAAAATTCTCTCTAAAGATAAGATATTCTTTATTTTAGAGAGGGAATATCTGAATATAAATTTCAAGAGACACTTTATTTTAAATTCTCCCTGTTCTTACTTTATAATGACTGAATTTAATAAATTATAAATTTCAATACTGATTTGTAAAAAAATATATTAAACCGCTAGTATTATTAGTGGAGTGTATTAAAAAAAAAATATATATATATATATATATATATATTCTCTAAATTTTATATATTTAAAGATGCTTCGTGTGTATAGAGAGTCTTTTTTGGAG